GCCCTCCCTTAGAGTCTTTCTTCTAGTTTTTGACCTTTGCCTCTCTCTTTTCCTACCAGGCTACAGACTTACCGGAGGCTAAGATCTGTGTATGAGAGAGAACATATGGTCTGAGCCTGGGTTACCTCACTTAATGTTTTCCAAATTCATACATTTTTTTCCTGTAAATTTCATTTTTTTCTGTATAAATAAATAAAATCCCATTGTATCTATGTGACACATTTTCATTTTCTATTCTTCAGTTGATGGCTATCTAAGCTGGCTTCATTTCTTGCCACTGTGAAAAGAACGGTGAAGACCATAAGCGTGTCCACGTCATAGGATGTGGGCATATGCCCAGGAGTGCCATTAAAGAGACTTTCTCCCACTGCATGTTTTTGTCACTTTTGTCATGTATCTATTGACAGAAAGGAGTATGGAGATTTTTTTAAGACTTTCAGTTTGATAGATCATGTATTGTTTTTATGCCAGTACCATGATTTTTGCTTTTTATAGCATTTTGGTGTATTTTGAAGCTAGGAAGTTCTGTCTCCAGTTTGTTTGTTTTGGCTACTCTTTTGTGGCTTCATATGAATCTGAAGATTTATTTTTCTATGTTCTGTAAAAATGTCATTGGTATTTGGTAGGGACTGGATCCAACACATCTTTGGGAATCTTTCTTCATACAGATCAGTCTCTCTCTGCCTTTTATTTTCTTTTTTCCTAAAAGATCTTTAACAATTCTTGCAAGATGGGCCCACTCACGATAAAAACAAACTCTCTCAATTTTATGAGAAGCTATAGAAAACCAAAGATAAAAACAATCTAAGAAACTAGAAATATAGCTAAGAGTGAGTATACTTTATTTCTCCCCTTCTCCCATTTTGAGACAGTGTCTCACTATGTAGCCCAGGCTGGCCTTTAACTCAAACTTCTTCTGTTTTGGCTTCCAAATGTTCCTTCACTTTTGCAGAATAGTCTTGTATAGGTTTAGAATACTATGCTGATAGGGGCTTTGTGTGTGTGTGTGTGTGTGTGTGTGTGTGTGTGTGTGTGTGTGTGTATGTCTGAAATAGTCTCACCATAGGCCCAGACTGTCAGACTGTGGTGGCAATTCTTCTGCCTCTACGTCCCTAATGCTGAGCCTGACACACTAGGCCTGTATATTCAAACAAGCACTTTAGCTCGATGCAGCGCTAGCAAATTTCAAAGAAACAGATTGGTTCTTTCCTCCAAGTTATCTGTGTAGCAAGAATGACTGTTCACATAAAATTCTTGTGGGGAAAAAAAAGACTGTACCTGCAAACGGAGTCTCTGTCAATATGTTTCCGCTAAGTAAACCAAAGATATTTCCCCTAAGTATCAGACCATATTGGTCTGAATGAGGCTGAACTTTGGCACAAATGAAGACTGCTGCCTGTCACAGACATGACAGGAAAGCTAGTGAGAGAGGAAAACCTTCAGCCTGTTCATCCATTCTCACCTACACTGACTTTCTTTTCACTGGAATGGTAGTGTGCTGGGTGTTCACACAGGAGACAGGTGTAGAAATCGAGATGAATGTGGCCACACTCAGCTCCCCACAAATGAATTCACAGAAACTTGCCTGCAATCTGATAGATTTAGATTCGTGGTTTTAACCTGCCAGGGAAGGCATGTTGGATTCCAGGGCTCATCGAGATGTTCTGCTTGAGTGGGTCTCAGATGAGCCTGAGCCTCAAGTGATGCTGGTTATGTCCATCCAGGAAACAACACTTTGTGAAACAGTTCTTTTCAAACCATGGATGCTTGATGAGCCTTGACAACAGTGGATCTCAACCTTGTGGGTCATCATCTCTTTGGGGTCACATATCAGATATCCTCTCTATCAGATGCTATAATTCATAATAATAGCAAAATTATAGGGTCACAGCATTAGGAAGGTTGAGAACCACTGCTTTACAAACTACTTAATTCTATAATCCTTCTGGTATTCTTTAATGACACAAGTTATTTTTTTCCTAAATAGTGGAAACCTTTAATAAAAAAGCTGAATATGAACTACAAGATTAGAATTATAGACAACTCACTCCCTATTTTGCAGATGATACCAAAACTCAAGTATGTATGGGGCAAAGCCAGGAACAATCCACACATTTGATTGTAAGTCCGGATGGATTATGATCTCGGTTTCTTTTTTCTTTTTAATTTTTCTTTTCTTTTTATTAATTACACTTTATTCACTTTGTATCCCAGCTGTAGCCTCCTTCCCTAATCCCCTCCCAATCCCATCCCCCTCTCTCCCTCCTCTTTTCCTATATCCCTCCCCAAGTCCAATGATAGGGAAGATACTCCTCCCCTTACCTCTGATCCTAGTGTATCAGGTCTCATCAGGACTGGCTTCATTGTCTTCCTCTGTGGACTGGTAAGGCTGCTCCCCCCTCGGGTGGAGGTGATCAAAGATCCAGCCAATGAGTTCATGTCAGAGATGGTCCTTGCTCCTATTACTGGGGAAACCTCTTGTACACTGAGTTGCCATGGCTACATCTATGCAGGGGTTCTAGGTTATCTCCATGCATGGTCCATGTTTGGAGTATCAGTCTCACAAAAGACCCCTATGTCCAGATTTTTGGTTCTGTTGCTCTCCTTATAAAGCTCCTGTCCCCTCCAGGTCTTTCTATCTCTCCCTTCTTTCATAAGATTTCCTGCACTCTGCCCGAAGTTTGGCTATGAGTCTCAGCGTATGTTTTGGTACACTGCTGGGTAAAACATAGTTAAGAAAAAGTTTTCAAACAGGATGCCTTAAAAACCCTCCTAGCCATACCTACTACAATGCACACACTGCTTAATTTTCTACATACAATAGTGGTCCCATTGAAGGAGCCGGCAATATTGTTGCCATCTGTTTTCATAAGCATAATCTATAATATTCACATAGCGAGGATCATGTGACAGTGTTTCTCTAAAAACATTGTGCTGTTGAAGGATATATGGCCATATCTGGCGCAGTTTTTATATATACCAGCATATCTATTTCATTCTAAAAGGCAGACCTATGAAAATCACCTCATTTGGGACCATGCAATTCATGCTCTAAGCTCAGGTCTTACTTAATTCAGGTTGAGACGGCCGAGGTATGTTGCCAAGCCAGGAGCACAGAGGATACTGAAACCCTCTCTGCGGGACTTAGCTAAGAGGTCAAGCTGTGGCAAGGCTCTCAGAATGTGCCCCTGGAAGGGTAGCTCCTTGGTTTCCATGAGGGAAGTGCCGAAGCATGTCTTCTACACAATGTACACCTGGAGAGCCTATAGTAGCCCTTCTTTCCCACAGGAACACATCCTGAGTCCCCCTGAAACCATCATTAGTACTGATGTTGACACAAAGGGTCCACTCTGTAAGGGCATATAGAGCACAGTTTATAAAGCAGGCAGAGGAAGGCTTAACAGTAACTAGTAGGAAATAGTACAGTGAGAACATTATTTCAATGTAGTTTGGATTTGAATATCCTCCAAAGGCTCATGTCTTAAAAGCTTCCATTTCTTCAGGAGGATCTTTTATTTTGGGGGGAGGGGACAGGTTAGCCATAGCTTGAGCAGGTGGCAGCTAGCATGAAGTCTTGAGGTCACTGGTGACATGATTCTGAAGGAAACTGTGGCCCTGGTCCCTTCTCTTGCTCTCAGGCATTTCCCTGTGCTGTGCAGCCTTGGTCAGAACAATGGGGTGAACAATGGAAGTTCCAGAAGTGTGAACTGACAAAACTTTTCCTCTTTCTTTTGTGAGTTAGTTATCTCATGTATTTGCTACTTTCAAAAAACCAAAAACCCACACCATACTTAGCACTTTAGTTAGATCACGTGATGACATGGTGCCTAGGAAAGCAGCTCAAGTGAGCGATGTGGAATTAGAGCACTGTTGATCTTTTTAACTGGGATTACAACAGTGCTGTGAGTTGATCTGCTGACTAGCGGATGGGTAGTACATACAGCATGGAGACGGTGGACAAAGGGATGCTTCATGTACTAGGCAGGCCAAGTGTGATGGCTTGGGGAGAACAGGCCAGCAGCAAATGCAGCAGCAGCAGGAGTGAAGCATACCCTTCACACAGAGAAGGCTTGAACCATAAAAACAATGGTTTGGATAGCTTTTACCAGCAAGGCCTCTGAAGCCAAGAAAAGCACAGAAAATACAGAAATGAAAGCAGAGGGGAAAGGCACTGTTTTCTTTGAACGGATACTAAATGGTCTCATGAAACTTAATATGGCTCCTCTTTGAAGTCTCCAGTCCTACTGCAGAAAGAAAATCCTACGAGCAAACCAAGAGAAGAAATATAATACTCCAGGGTGCTCAGAGTAACTGGAAAAGCAGACCAGAGTTGACAGGAAGATGAAGCTTTTTCAGGCTGTGCTCTGATTCGGCGCTGGAAATCCGAGTGAGCGCAATCTCAGGAGCCACAACTGATCCCTAGGAAAAATGTTCACCCTCTTGTTAGTGGTACAGGGAACTTCCATTTTCAACTCTGCCAGCAGGTCCTTAGAAAAGGGTACACCGATCTCCAGGCTGGCTTTTTCAGGACCTCCGTTAACTACTAGAAAATGGACGTCCATCCCTTTCGCTGTGTCAGTCGGACTGTGGTCATCTGCTCTTAGATTAGTGCTAAGTGTGTGACACTATGACTTACATTCCTGTGGCTTACTAAGACGGGGGGAGCACGCACACACACACACATACACACACACACACACACACACACACACAACTGTTAAATCTCAGTGAGAAGCATATATGGGTATTCACTGAGCCAGTCCTTTACAAACCTACCTTTATAGATTGCCTGACTAATGGACAACATTTAAGCCATGAGACAAAGCTGATTAGGGACACGGTGGTCTCTTCTGCCTTTCACATCACAGCTGCATCATTTCTGGAGCTGTGCCCCCTGCCATGTGATGTGTATAACCGGACTCTCCCCCGTCTACAGTCCGCTGCCCCATCAAGCCCAATGGTTCGGTGCCCTAACACCCACCAAAGAAGAGGCAACAGCATCCAGGGAAGTTATCGGTTTATTAGGAAAGTACCAACACCACATTCTTGGAAATTACTGGAATTTTATTTGCCTCAGGCGTATGACTTGCAACCAAAGACATTGTGCAAAGAAAGCAAAGATTAAGTACACTTCAGGGAGAAGGAGACCGCACACATGGGTAACAGGTGGACAAAAGAAGCCAGCCAGGACACTCTAGACACGGTAATATTCAATAGCATTGTTGATAAAACGAGAACAAAAAAAAATTCAGCAATGTTTACAGTAGACAGAAATCTCATACAAGTCAAAAAGCTTTTTTTTTTTTTGTTCTTCAGATCATAGAGCATAAAATGGAAAAATGTATATGTAGGTGGTATCTACTGTACATTTGTCACCTAGTAAAGTTGCTTATATGTACCACAGTGTTTAAAAAAAAAAAACAATACTGAACAAATGAAAGTCTTGAAAATTGCCTGATGAAAAATAAAATAGCCAGTGGCTTTTACCGGCTCCTCCTGGTCATCGGCGCTGTGGAAGATAGAAACCTTCTCATCAGGACGGATGACGGAACCAAGCACATCAAACTGCTACCAAATTCGACCCACCTGTAGAAATATACTCTCCACCCACATCTTTTCCATCAAAAGCTTTTGCTTGTTTTTAATCTTTGAATCTTTGAGGCCCATTTGGTCACAATATGTTACAAATATTCTTGGGTGTGTGTGTGTGTGTGTGTGCGTGCACGCGCGCACACACACGAGTGCGTGCACGCACTTTTTTTTTTTTTTTTTTTTTACACCATGATATCATATGTTTGTCTGGCACTATCCTAAAGCTACTTCTAGATGACAATGAGGACGGAGAAATAACCCAGTGCCCAAGTGGCAAGTGAACTCACTGGGGAAGAGAGGAGGGAGGGGAAGAGACTGTCCAGCTCTGCCACGGGGAGCTCAGCTCCGTGCCGCTCACTCGTCGTCGGTGCCACTCGCTTCTGACTGCTCCTGAAGGAGAAGAGGTGGGGAGAGTGAGGGAAAGACAGACTCTGCTGCAGAGGCACGGGCGCCCTCAGTGCCCGAGTGGGGAATGTAGAAAGGGCAACCTCAAGGCAATGCCTGCCAGCCACGTTTGCTGTCTGCCGCGGTGATTTCCCAAGTTTATGGCTAACCCATTCTATTTTTAGCCGAGACAAGAAAAAGATGAGGCATGGAACGTCTGCTCGCTGGTAAATCATCTCAAGAAATGATGGTGTTTTCAGTGTAACCCAAATACACGGAGCCTAACTCTAGAACATTCCAATCATGCTGGGGTAGCAAAGTGTTGAAGGGAAATCAAACTCACATATACACTGAAATGGAAAATTGTCTTTCCAGAATTTAAACGGTGTAGAGGGTGGTTGTGTCAGGGAAGCTGAGCTGCTCTGGGAAACGAGTTAAAGGATGGGGGACTGGCCAAGTTTCTGTTGTTCTCCCAGGCCTTCAGGGACAACAGTGCAGGACTGAAGCTCCTGGTGTCTGAATTTAGGCCCCCCATCAGTCCTTCAGGACCTGCGGAGTAACCAGGACCCAAGTGATGTCCTCGTGACTGTGCTAATTTCAACATTAAATAACTCCTCAGATCAGAAGGTGCCTGGGTTGATAAAATGTTCCTTAACATTTTTCCTGATAAGAATAAAGCCTCTAGATATTTAATCTCAGGGCACCACAGCCAAAAACTCTGACACCACAACACCTGGCCCCCTCAATCACCATTATTTCATCTGAGCTGCTGTATACTCACAGCAAGCTCAGTGCAAGAGATATAAAATATTAATCAGCCATGAAGAAAACTGTATTTGCACATACGTGCACTAAAAGCTTGAGAGGGGGAATAGAAACCTATTGAGGAGCTTTTCATTTCTCTGGTGACCACACAGAGCTTTAGACTTTTTGTTCTGAATTTTGCAGCTCTGTTATCCTCAGCAAGACCACCACACCAGGCCGCCCTCCCCTCAGTCTAAGGGAAGAGGAGTGTGAACCCCCAGATGGCCTCTGCTGGGGCCTGAACACTCACGTTCTCATCCTGTTCCTCATCGCTGTCAAAATCACTCACAACAGGTTTGGCTTTGCCTCGATTTGGCCTTTTCTTGCCTTTCCCTGTGTCCCGGCCTTTCTCTTCTTTTTTATTGAGCTTGATTTTCACCTTCACAGATTTTGCTAGAGCAGAAACAGAGAGAGACCCCAGTGAGGATTCAAAGTCAGTAAAATTATTATCCTGCCCCGTGGATAAGCAACCCAACCTCCCCAGGGCTGGGGAGCCTCAATGGCACTCTTCAGCCTGCCGGCCTAGTTAATCGCCCTTCCAAGTGCCAGCATGTCTCTGCTCAGAACGAGAGTGACACAGTCACAGGGGCTGAAGACCTCAGAGTAGGGGCCGGATCGTTTTCTTGGCTCCTGATGGCTGAGCAGGGCAGTTGTCACATAAAAAAAAAAAAAAAATTTTTTTTTTACATTAACTATTAACAAATCTTATACAGGATTTAAAAAAAAGGATGATTTCACTGTGTACTCTAGTTAACTTAAAAATTCAAGAAATTTGAGTGTTTTTTTTTTTTTAATGTAGAAGAAAAACACAAAATGGAAAGCAAAAGTGACAGCATGCTTCTTTTACCCCATTTCATGGCTCTCTGGTGATTATTTTGAGGAAAAAAAAAAAAAAAGAATGGTTTATACCTGTAAATAAATTCTACAGACTGTCATACCAAGGATTCAAATATGTACAGACATATGTACACAAGGAGATATTTGAAGTTTTATTTAGTGTGTACATGGACCTTCTGGCACATCCATGTTTTGCTTTCTACTTACATGTGGAAAACAGCCCTATGTATCATCTCACATGTGTAGCTTAATTCTTTTCAACCCTTGAAAAGTTCCCACACACAATCTACTCCATAATTGCTTTAACCAGTCCCCCAGTGATGGGTGTGTCAACAAAGAAGGCTACCTCCAAGCATGGCAGACAGTGGTAGCAAACACATGGGACATTCTAATGCTATCTGTCAAATACACTGCCAGGAAGAGTCCCGCCATTTCTGCTCTTGCTCAGAAGAGTGCCAAGTGCTACACCCTCTAAGGAACTTCTGAAATAGGTAGCCCATAGCCACCACTCCAAGTATTTGAGGGTGAGATCAGGAGAAGGTGGTTCTACCACACACACCAATTTCCCCAGCATTTGTAGATCTCAAGACTGTAGATATTTCAGTAGAGGAGGGGGTTTAACCACTGCAGAAACAATATGTGAGATGAGACTGTCAATCTCTTGGGGAAATGTAGGAAAGTATGCTCCTTGGGACAGTAAAATTAAGACATCTGATATTTTGTTAATGTTTTTAGATGTTAAGTGTGGAAACAGCAACAAGATAGCATAAAACTGGAACACACTTCTCAAAGTATTATAGATTATATGGTTATACCATTTCTTTTTTACCTACCCTAAGCAAAAGTAATGAGCAATAAACCAAATGATGTTTGTGAAAGCATATCTCTATGCAGACCAAAATAAGTAGGCGTTCTATGACAGTATCAGTTTGACCATTATTATGGAAAATCAGTGACTGTCTAAGTGTGGCCTGGGCCTGGCAGCACCTTGTGGGAACTTGTGAAACATCAGGGACAGGGCCTGGCCTCACTGATGAGGAGACACTGGGTTGGAGCGTAGCAATCTGTGCTCTTCATGCCCTGCAGATGCCAGGCTACAGTGCTAAGGAGTGGCAGGTGGCTTGCAACCCAGCGTTATCCCAACATCCAAAGGCAGCATGGGCAGAATGTTCTCAATGAGCTTGGCAGCCCTGAGCTCTGTGGCTGGTGCCCTCAAATTTCAACAGCTGGGAAAACTGGATATGAGCAGGGCAGGTATATGGCATTTAGTATCTGTGGAAACAGCCCTAAAGGGAGGAAGGGCCAGATGCAAGGGGCTTACCCTCTGACTCTGACTCTTCTTCATCATCTTCCTCCTCCTCTTCATTACTTTCTTCCTCGCTCTCTTCTTCTTTGGCAATTTTCTGCCGAGCACTCTTAAACACTGACTGTAGGACAATGGAGTCTTCGTAGATCTAAATGGCCAAAGCATCGACTGTTAAAAACCATACACTGAGGCCTGCAGACCCACAATAGCTGTGTGTACCTCCTCAGACAACACACACACACACACACACACACACACACACACACACACACACGCTTTCTTTTAAGAGATGCCACACTATGGGCTTTCTTCCCCCAAGTGTGTGGCCATGTATGTGGACGACAGGAATCTTCCTCAATCACATGTTAGTCACTGAGGTAAGACTTCTATTAGAGTTATAGGCTAGCTCCTAAACCCACTCAGACTTGCATGGCAAACACTTTAAACACTGAGCCAGCTCACCAGGCTACCATTGACTCTTGTGAAAACGCAGAGGCAAAAGAGTGAATCCAAATACAGACACATAGATACTCAAAGGAAGACCAAACACATTGAACTGAAGTTAAAAGAACGTGTCAGAGCAGATGGGTGCAGAAGGCAGTCTCGTCTTTGACAACGACGAAAGCATTTTTGGTTGTTTGTTTATTGTTGTTTTATTCTCTCTGTAACAGCCCTGGCTGTCCTGAATCTCACTATGTAGACCAGGCTGGCCCCAAACTCAAGAGATCTGCCTGCCTCTGCCTCCTAAGTGCTGGGATCAAAGGAGTGTGCCACCACCACCACCACCAAGGGGCCAAAAAACAATATTTTAAACCACAGTTATTTAAATACTATTCTTACTTAAATTCTGTTCTCTTTAGTACTGTGGCAATACCGGCAAAGGAGCCTTTCACAAGGTTGTTTCCCATCGGTGAGGTTCAGCGCAGCATTTCCCCTACCTGTACACAGTCCCTTGCGGTACTGAGAGAAACAGGAGGTCCAGACTCAGACCTTCCCCTCAGGAAATTAAAACAGAACCAACTACATATACACAATCCAGCAATCTCACTTTTAGATATGTACCAAAATAATTAGAAGCAGAGTCTTGAGGAAATAAATATCCTCTACACGTCCATGTTCCTTAGAGGCAACCTTAGCCAAAAGCTAGGGAACCCAAAGGTCTGTAGACAGATGAGCAGCTGAAGAAAGCATGGCAGATGCGGTGACGAGGATTCAGCCTTTGGGAGGAAGGACCTCCCATCACCCGCTACAATACAGAAGAACCCTAGGAAGCCACTTGTCAAAAGACAGACATAAACTGATCCCAGTTATGTAGTCAACCCACACAAGTTCGAGGGTTGTTAGAGGAACCGGGGTAAGCTCAAGGGTTGTTACAGGTGTAGGGTGTCATCGTTTGCCAGAGACCTGTTAAATACCTATATGAACATCCTTGACACTACTGAACTGCATCCTTAAAAATAGCCATGGGTGACACTGAAGTTGTCTTTGTGCCACAGCTCAAAAGCAGTGTATAAACGAATGGTCTTTGCGCTCTGGAATTTGAAATTTTTGTTGTAAAGATGGCCCACACAGCCAATCCCAGCACCCGGGAAGCAGAGGCTGGCAGACCTCTGTGATTTCAAGACCAGCTTGGTCTGTGGACTGATTTCTAGGACAGCCAGTGCTACACAGAGAAACCTGTCAAAAAAAATGGCCCATACATTCAAATACATTCATGGTATGAGGCCAGCGGGGAAAATGAAGGATAATACTGTGGGATAGGAAACTGGGACAACATCTGTCAGAGGTCTGAGTTGACAAGTCAGGGTGAGGATGAGCTGGCCAGGGGTGAGACATGAGTGAGAAAGAGAAAGGCAGGAGGCCCAGGTGCAGAAATGCGTTGGAGGCCTCACTGTCATTCCTGGCTGTGGAAGTGGACTCTGCTAGGCTACATGCTACACGCAGGATCTCTGTGTAACCTGACCTGTCCTGTTTCTTCTTTTTTTTGCCAGATATGGGAACACCAGGCCAGAAAGATGAGAAAGAAAAAAAAAATCAGTTACCACCAAGAGTAAGTAGAACTGAGCTGTAATTAAGGTGGAAGTGTCCTCCTTATGCTTGTAAGTTCCATGTTACTTACAGTGACTTCCTATGGAGAAGGGGACTTAAAGAATTTTTTTAAACCAGTACTTTGAGGCTCCTTCCTATTCCATTTCAAGTCATTGTGCTTAGAACTGCTGGCAGAAGGTAGTGATCATCAGAGATGGTACCCAGCCTTTCAGCATTACCTTCAACAGCTTGCTTGAGTTTCTCCTCTAATGGGAAGCCAAGCCTTGAAGGAACTGTGAGTAGAAGGCTACCCAGCTATGGCACAAACCCTCCCTTTATTCACACAGGCAGCAGAAAACATGCCTTCTGGGTTTTCAGTCTCTTGCTGGGGAGGAAGCAATGATTCAGAGAGCAGAAATGAAATGCTTCACTTGCAAGAACCTAAGCATGGTTCAGGTTAGTTGCGTCTCAGACAACGTGACACATACCTGGGACCCCTCCAGGTTGAACGTCTGTGCATTGTGACAGAGAAGCATGACATCTTTCTCCAGATCACCCAGGCTCCGGTACTTATGATTTCGGATTCTTTCCTGGTGGGAATTTTGAACACAATAGAAGAGGAATATGTAACTGTCCTTACTTGTTCAAGAAAGCCCAGATTTCCCCTTGTCTTCACAGCATTCAGCCTTGTTGAGTGGGGGGGAGTGCACAACCCCAAGGGGGTGTCACTGACCAAGACCCCCCTCCCACCTGTGTTCTTTAGGGTGGGGAGGAAGTGCACAGAATGGGAAATGAGTGGCAATGGAGGGGAGGAAGGTCCTCAACAACATGCAATGTATACAGTCTGAGCTTTCAATGATCAAATAACATGCATGGAAAGGATCAATGGTACCCCATCCCCACCTTTCCTGGTCAAGCCTTGGGTAGGTGAGGGGTTAGCAACGGGAGGCCACTACTCCAGCCCCGCCTAGAATCACTCCAGAGCATCCATGCATCTCCTTTGTGTACTCGAAGAAGAACAGTGAACGGGTATCTACCTTTATCTTTTTGAAATCCACTGGCTTCCTAATTAATTCATAGTATTCTGGTAACTCTTTCCTGGAAGGTAACTGAATGAAGACTTCACTGAGCTGTCGCCCTGAACTGCAGGATGAGGGAGACAAACAGAAACAAAGCAGATGAAGCACTCCTCAGGGAGAGGGTCATTTCAGAGACTGTCAACAGAACAAAAGAGGTCCCACGCATCCAGGCATGGGGCTCTATACGAGCAGGAAAAGCCCACCATGGCTCTGGGGGCTGGTGCCCCGTGTACCGGCTTCAATCACATGAAAGCACAATTACGTCCCCGTTTCTGTCACACGCACACAATGTGGCAAGTACCCTGTGGATTCCCCTGTCAGGAGCTAATCTCTTTTCATCATGACAGAAATATTTAAAATAACGAATTGAGCCCCAAGTCCCATTTTAAATGAATAACAGGGCTGGCTGAAAGAAAGCACATAGACATGACTCCCATGTTCCTTTTGTCTTCAGATCCACTGTATATTTAGAAAATATGTTAAAATATACAGAGTGATGCAAATGTGAAGCTGTTTTATGCTCCCCACAATCCTTTCTGTCTCATTCCTTTCAGGGTTCTTCTATATGCCGCAAGCCCCTTCTGTGATCCTTTGCCCGAGGAGCCCCTTCACGTCCCCCAAATGCACTTATGTGTGTGGAGCAATTTGGGCAAAAAAAAAAAGAACAACTGCTAATGTCACATGTTTCTAGACTCTGAGCTGTGCCCTCCCCAAGTGCATGGTGGGTTTATTGAAAGCAGGTTTAGTAGAGAAATGCTTTAGCGTTTTGTTTTTTTTTGTTTTTTTTCACTCAGAAGAACAGGCTGCAGAGCAACAAGCTTTTCACGTCACTTAATGCTGGAAGCAGTCACGGTTAGAGGAACAAAGGAGGATAATTGAGGTTCAAGATCGCAATACCTGATTTGGCCTTCCTTCCTAAGTCAATAACAGCTTGTGATATATGGTCTAGTCGTTTTCCACAAAAACCCTACTGCCCTTATGATGCCATTTTCAGTTCCTTTGTGAAGCCAGAAACGTCAAAAGATCATGATAAATCCCTGGCATGTAAATTTTGGAAGGTGACTGCAACAGTGTTTGGGAATGCTCAGAGGCAGTGGCAAGGCATGAGTGACAATATGCTGTTTTAATCCACAGTCCCAGTTGTATAATTAAAAAATAATCATAATGACAGTTATCATAAAAGAGACATGCGCAGTAACTCAAGTGGTTGCCTAGCAACCAGTGGGGGAAAAGCTGAAGTGCAAAGGGGCCTGCATAAATTAACCAACAATCCTCAGTCAAAGGATAGGCAAGTTTTTCGGCTATCACGGGTCACTGTTTTGTTTTATTTTTAATGCTTAGAGGAGCCTTGTGAATACTAAAATTGGGCACAAACAAAAGAGGTTCAAAGACAAGACTATGGAATGCCAGGGAATTAGATTCTTGGATTACTGTGGCAAGAATCAAGGTGTTCTCTGACTCCTCCACCCCCTGCAGGCTGAGATATGTTTGTACGTCCATAATTTGCGTCGAAGAGTATATGCCACATTTTCTTGCTTACCATCAATCCCGACACAGGGCCACAATTGCTGGTGCATTTTTCTAACGTTTTGAAATTTATAAACTCATCTTACTTTTTTATTTTTTTAAAGAACATTTTAATGGCACCAAAAAGAAATCTATGTCCATAAACTGACATCAATCCACATGGCAAACCATACTGTAGATGTCATGGCTTTAATACCTGACTCTCAGTGACATCATCAGTGTCATCAGTGTCTATACTCCCAACAGATGGTGTCGTTTTTTTCTATCGACACATTACAAACACGTCTTTGCTCTCTGCACCTGTGATGGAGAGACTCTGGACTTCACCTGTGCCCCTAGTGAGGTAAGAATTCAACCCTAGGGACTAGACCCCAAAACACACTAGGATGCCAAGACAGTGCAAAGCCACAAAGGTCGCCTGTGCCTGCCTTCTCTAGCCTCTCAAACCTGTAGCCCCTAGGTCCACTGAAGAGACAAGTCCCGAGTCACCCATACTCAAAAGAGAGCTGAATGTGTCCAGACTTGGTGTCAGTACTGTAAAAGGAGAACAAATACACCTTATTCTACAAAAAAAAAAAAAAAAAAAAAGAAGGCTCACTAGACTAAACACTCATTCTTGCTTTCCCTCCCCCTACTCCATCCCAAAGAGAATGAAACACTAGGTGACCTGGAAGCCATCTAAGGAAGGTGCTTCCACTTTTCTGTACACCCCTTAGTCTGGCCACCAAGCCCTCTAGAGTGCACCCATATGTTCCATTTGTTCTGCTGGCATCTTCTCAGCTCAGCCAAATAGCATCTTACTCATGTAAGATGAGAATCAAAGCATTCTCATGTGTATGACTGCACATTTCTTATATTTGGTGCTGGAGGTGGCGAGATAGGGTCTACTCTATAAACCAAGTATGGCCAAACCCGTGGCAATCCTCCTGCCTCAGCATCCCAAGGGCTAGGATTACAGGTGTAACTAGCCCTGGCTGAAATGCACCCCACTTCAAATGCTTCATGATTCTACCACAATCAAGACCCATTCTCCTTATAAATGGAGGACAGTCTCCTTAATATTAGTTGCATTTAAGTTTCTGCACCTCACTTCTCAGAATTTTCTCTTCTTCCCACTGGATGCCAAGATTTTCTACAGTCAGATCTTACCCATAATCCTTTCCAGGGCAATTGCTATCATGGCAGCTGAGGGAGGAAAGATCAAGGTCTTAACCAGTTAAGCATTATCTGGGTCAGCCCCTGCTGACCCAGATAATGCTTAACTGGTAAGGACCTATAGAATGCATCAGGGTGCCAGAACACTTCCTGAAGGATGAAATAGCTAACCCCACGCCCATAAAGATACAGGTTTAAACAAACAAACAAACAAACAAACAAACAAAATGAAGTCATTGAACAATGGACTAACTACAGAATGGTTTGGAGAAGGTGGTCTGGCTCTACTGAAAGCTTTATCCTCCCCTAGGTATTTTCATTATGTCATTTTATACAATTTAAGACCTAAGTATAAATTATTAAAGTGCACTGCTTCCTGTGGCAAAAGCGACACCCTCCCCAGACAGCTTTTACACCTATTTTGCACAGTGATCTACCTCATACTAGGATGTGTGACTGCAAAGATACAGGGCTGGTGGGGGATGAGGAGAATCTCCCTGAGCTCAGCACTTACAGGGGCAGGCAGCAAGCACCTTCCTGTCTACCAAGGTGAATGGACACAGGGGCTTGATGGCTGTGCCCTGTGAATGAAGAGAAGCACTATGCCCCAGCTATTGATGAGGACTTCGAACCCAGCCTGCCAGGTGCATGTGTACACACTGCTGAGATTTAGTGTATTATGCTTCATCTGGAAACCAGTTTATCCCCATTGCCTCTACAGTCCACAAGGCAAGGTTTCCCCATCTAACTCTAGATGGAGGCTGTACACAACATATACCCTACAGAAATAACAGCCTCACTTTGACTTGGTACTGCAGGAAACATGCTTTACATTAACTTGCTTAGGAATACCTTCCTTTAAAACAGTGGCTGCTGTGTCTTCCAAGGATTCCTTCTATGTCCAAAGCAGTAAGTCTGATACTAAATAAAGCAGGGCTTGTTTCCTTTATAATCCCCACCATTGCTGCCCCCCTCTTCTTGAGACAGTCTCATATATCCCAAACTGACCCAGTTTACTATGTAGTTGAGGCTGACCTTGAACTTTCTATCTTGTGAAGTTCAAGGATTATGCACAGGCATGGTTCATGCAGTACTAGGGACCAAGCTTAGGCAATGAGCATGCAAAGGAAATACCCTACCAACTATATATATATATATATAAAATTAATCAGCCAATAAATTTGCTCAGCTGATTATAACAGTTATGAAAAAGAGGTAACTACCTGAAGCCAAAATAAGTCTTGTTTACATTAAGCAACTATGGCTTACATCCTAAGAAATTGAAGTTATGATTTAGAATAGTCACTTGGGGTTGGAGGGATGAGTAAGGAAAATTACTGCAGTCCTGAAGGTATCCTACAGGACTTCCTACAGGAAGTAATTTGAGAAGAAAACCTAGGAACTAGAATGGCATAGCATGGCAGGAGATGAGAAAATGCTGCTTTCCCCCCAGGTCAGGTTCCTCAGGAAGCTTCATACACAATACTGATGAACTCTCTCAAGCTCATGCCCACTCCCCAATTATCTAAGGAACCCTGAAATCCTGAGACAGGTATGAAACAGGAGCCATGAGCATGCCAGTCACGAGTGAGAGCTTTTGTCGGAGCCTCACACTCACTGAGCAGTGACTGATACCCAAATCTGACCTCCCAGGTTCTAATGGCATAAGTGTGGGGTATCATTTTGTATCTGGTAGTCGGGCAGGTAGCCGTCAAAACTATCCCACATATCAAGAAAGAACACAGACATCTATACCACGTTCCTCAGTTATCAAGAAACAGAAGGCTGTATGCCCTCACTCGGCACGGCCACCTGACCTCACCCCATCTCAAAACACTGACGCTCTGATGCACTGTTCTAATTATTATTGTCTTCTCTGGGTCAAAACAAAGAGAAAGATGAGAGGGCTGGCAAAGAGATGGCACAACACTAAGGGCACATACGACCAAGCCTGATGACCTAGGTTTCATATCTAGAACCCGTAGAGTAGAAGGAAAGAACCATTTCTCAGAAGTTGCCCTCTGACTTCCTCCTGTATACCTGGACACACAAAATATCTATAAACGTAAAAGAGAAAAAAAAAAGATGTATGAAGATAGTCATCATAGGATAACTTCAGGATGTTTGCCATCACAGAAAAGGCCAGTGGTAGGATGCTAAGGAGTCTAAAGCTGTGTAGTTTAAAAGAATGAAGAATGGGGAGGGGTGCTGTTATGGAATTAATACACACACACACACACACACACAAACACACAGAGGATATAAAACTCTAAATGTGACCCATCTCAAAAGTTTTGAAATAAGCATAGACGAAAGAGTTGAGAGGCGATATGGGACAACTTCACATTGACAGGAACACATTCAGCAACAAGATTTATGAACCAAGGCAACTGTGAACCAGGTCATCTGCAAAGTGGGTCTCAACACTTTGATCCAGCTTTCTTGTTTGAAAATGTGCTATAGGTTAAGAATCACATCTTATTTGAGACCTAGCCAGCCCACAGAGGAAGAGGATACAGGCAGTCCTTATGGGACCTGATAGGCTAGGGTCAGACAGTAAGGAAGGAGGACCTCCCCTATTGATAGATTAGGGGAGGGCTATGGGGAAAGAGGGAGCAAGGGTGGGGCCAGGAGGAGATAAGGGAGGGGGCTATAGCTGGGATACAAAGTGAATAAGTTGTAACAAATAATAAAATGTTTAAAAGAACCCACATGTCAGGTGGTCAGCTTTGATTTCTATCAGATGAGTAGCAGGTTTCATTACTGACCCCTCTAAAGTTTTCTTCGCATTATATTTTCTATGGCCCTCAGCTCCCAATCCTCTTGCATCAGCCTCCCAGATACCGGAATTACAGACACAGACCACCATGTCTGGCTCTTTCTTTTTCTTGACAGGCATCTTGAAGATTTTTAGTAGATTTACTACCTAGCACTCAACTTTTGGAAATATCGACAGAGGCCATTTAGTTCCCTACACTTTTTTCCCCCTCACTTGACATTTCATAATAGCAAGAAAAGGTATGAATTCTCACCTACCTCTGTCAGGCGTGACAGCTAAATGGCCTGCCAGCTCCTGTGCTTCACCACTTCCTCCTGGAGACCTGAGATGCTGTCCTTTCAAAATGTATGGATGGCCTGACCCTCCCCTTCTGAGTATTCTGTCCTTTGATCCTGGACAGTGTCTTGTCTTCTGTGTGGTGAAAAAGCTCCAAGGCTTTTTGGTTGATTTGTCACACAAACCTTCTAGAAGCAAACAGAGCCCAATGTTTCTCTACCTGAGGAGCCCAAGGGCCAGATGTGGTTTTGGTTTAATTGTGGGTGGGTCACGGCAGGTCCCTGAGGGCCTTTCCCTGCAATGGGCATTTTGCTAAGTTCTGGAGTGAGGCCAATTCTTCTCATGAATGTAAAAATCTATATATCTGCTCTCTTCAATATTGCTTCCCCCCCCCCAAAATGTTCATGGAACAGAGTTTGAAGATAGTGTCATCCCTATAAAAGGATACAATTTGCTACTTACAGTGGGGGTTCCTTCCTCTTTCTGAGGGCTCATTCATGTAGGTGCTAGCTTGGGAGTTGGGGAAGAAGGGAAGGGAGATAGGGCCAGAGTAACACTGGAAGCTAGGGGAGGCTGTCTGTCTTGGTTTACTTTCTATTGCTGTGACAGACAGAACACCACGGTCAAAAGCAACTTGGGAAGGAAGGGAAGGGTTTATTTCATCTTACACCTCTCCGGTCTCCGTGAGGGCAGCCAGGGCAGGAACTGAAGCACAGGCCATGGAGAAATACTACTTACTGGCTTGCTCAGCCTGCTATTGTATACACTCCTGAGTCACTTGCCCAGAGGTTGAGCTACCCACAGCCGCCTGGACCTCCCCACATCAATCACTAACCAATGTCCTCCAAGCTTGCCTGCAAGCCACATTCCAAGTCTCAGAAAGCAGGTGGACTAAGTGTGTTTGCCCACCTACCTTCCGTAGGTGGGGATAAGTGGCTGAGTACCATAAGTGCCAAGCCACCAGGAGTCACAGCAACCTGCCCCAGCGACACTTACATCAGAGGGTGAAGACAGACACTAGAACACACATCTACCTGTACACATTCTGAAGGCAGTACCAGATCTCTAACTCAGCATTCCTCAGAGAGTGTGACACAGCACACCAACCTATGGGGCTACAAACGACAGTGTTTCCTGGAAAGAGGGTTCACTAAATAAATGCGTTCTGGGGAACACTGGGCTGGGGAGACTACACAGCAATGATCCCCCCCCCCCCCACACACACACATATACAATTCTCCAGCTAGACTGGCTATCTCTAAGAGGGCCTTTAGAAGACTGTAGGAGGTACTTTCTCTGACACAAAAACCTCATCAGCCTGCTATTCCACAAGACAAACTTGGCAGCGCTGTGTGAGATCCAGAGCAGGAGACAGAGAATGAGAACTAGAACATGAATGCTGTCTAAATGCATCCACCAAGCCGCAACACTGTTCCAAGGTAATTCTTCTGGAATCTGACTGAAGCCACTAAATGCAAAGCTGCCTGGGCATGAGAGCCATTCTGGCAGCATTCCTTCTCCATTTAAAGAAATATAATGCCTGATCCCATGGATGCTAAAAATAGGTTTTGTCTAAAACAACTTGTTTGCTGGTTCTGAAAGAGCAGTCAATACTAATGACATAATCACGACATCAACAGCTGTTAACAGTTATGGAGAGAACTTAAGTTTCCTGATGTGGAGTCTGTGGAAATGTGTATGCAAGCTGCCCCTTGCTTACCCCACTTCCCTTCTACCTGCATTCCTATACACAGCACAGAACCTTCACTCACCGCTCAGGAAAGCAGATTCGTCTGCCCATGTCCATCAGGTATTCTGAGCATGTGTTCCACCATTTTCCTCCCCACTGCCACTTCCCTATCAGAACGATGTCTCGGACTTCACCTAGCAAAACCCCTTTACCTCATTCTAACTCAACACCCCTCTACCACGCCTCATTCACTCCCAACATGAACACGTGGCATGGCTTATAGTCCTCGTTTGGCTCTTCTTTCCTCCTAGCACAGCCGGCTCCCTCTGCGGGCAGCATCCATTCCCATAGCGGACGCCACACGCTGGTCACTGCACCCTCTCAGCAAAAACCCAGCTGTGTCCTCAGCACTGGACACCCTCGGGAGAGACAGTCAACTGTGAGGACACACAAACGCTGTCTTAGAGATGTGAGTTCTTGAAGACCGCATGGCAGCTCTTCACCTTGGCGATCACAGCTCTCCGGATCTGCTCGGCTGCTTCACCCGGTGGGCTGGCTCCACTTTCTTTGGACAGGGTAGGCTAGCTGTACAGGGACACGTGGCCTCTGGATGCAGTCCGTTTACTCATGCTTCCGTCCATAGGTGCTCAGGACCACACTATTGCATACTCTGGGTTTATACACCCTAACCGGCCACACTCACCCCGACCCAATCCCTGTGACCCCCACCCAATCCCGTGTCACCCACAAGCCAACTGAGACTTTCCTGTTTGGGCCCTCCCTCCACCTTGCTCACCAGGTGCCTGCACTACCTGCTTATATAACTCCATCCAACAGCGGACAAGGCAATCTCTTTTACTTTTTTTTTTCTCTCTCTCTCTTTTTCTACTTTCAATACTTACACAGAGACTGACACAGAAAATGCTGGGCTTTTGAACAGCAGGAAAGGATTTTTGAGCAATTGCTCTGAAGGAGAGGTTAACTTATCACCATACAGCTCTGAACATCACACAGCTCAGGCTTAGAGGAAAAAGAAGCGGGGGTGGGGGTGGGGGGAGGCAATACAAGAATACACCAGCTCCAAAGAGCCCACAGGGAAGCAAGTGCCAAACTTTCTCTAACCTCCGCAAATGACCATTTAAACTGTACTTAGAGGAAATGGATTTACCTAGGTCCTAACTGCATTCGGTGATATTCTCTACCCTCAGAAAGCCCAAGCATGACATGAGGGGTTTGCAGTAACCTTTAAAGTCATTAATCCACTTTTTCATGGCCAAGTGCTTGCTTTGATGGAGGAGACGGGGAGGAGCAGAGGGAAAGGGAACTCAGACCCAAGCCTGCTTTAGGAGGCAGGTGTTTCGGCCCCACTCTGCCATTTAGACCATCAGGCTCCTTTTCAGTCCACACAAGTCACTCTATTATGTAAACAGTCTGATCTTACAGAGTCAGTGTTGTTTCAAGTCTGCCTGAATCCTTTCTCCTGATGATAGAAACGGTGCATAATTGGCAGCGCTCAGCAGGCACTGTGGTGTGTGTGCTTCCTAGGATTGGACACTGCTTACTGAGAACAGCCAATCTTGCCCAAGTTTTATTTCTACAGACATGTATTTAAGGCCTTATGTTAAAAAAAAAAAAAAAAAAAAGGCTACAGGTTGAGATCTGTTCATTCTGAAATTCAGAGTACAACCTCAGTTCTCTTCCTTCTGGCCCTAGATTAGATCCTGCATTGCTTGGGTTAGGGCTAGGGGGTAGACAACATTACTGGATCATTTGACAAAACTGGGAGACGGGAGGCAAAAGCACTCCAGTGATCGTTTCAACAACGCAGCTTGATCGCAGTAGAGGGAAAGCATGCTCCGTGTACAGGTAATGCTTATCTTGGCATTGCACCCATCCATCTCCCATCAGGCAACACCATGCCAGTCTAGCATCTCGAGGAGAGGACTGCTTCCGGTTTTCCCCCAGCTGGGGCAGAGGTACATGAACGTTAGACAGATTGCTGGGGGGAGCGTAGGACTCACCGTGACAGAGGGCACACCCTGAAATCCAGCCCAGCACACACTCAGGAGTAAACACAAGAAGCAGCTCCCCCACCCCCGCCAACTGCAGCCAACTCCAGGATGAACAGGCACCCAACGTGATGTCATACACATCGGGGTTCCTCCTCCATTGCTTGGCATCAAGCTTCAACACCTGGGCAGCACACAGTTACAAGGTCCACAGGACACATAGCAGGATGAGGGTCAGGAGGGGGCAGAGGCGGCAGAGACCTACCTCTGAGGTGCTGCAGGCTGGGCAGGCTTCCAGGTGTCTCCTGCCACCTTTGTTAAGACACGTATGCACAGGCGGGCTCTTCCAGGTGAGCACACCGCACAGACAACCTCAAAAGCATGGCAGGGGGCTTAAGGGTGTGTGTAACCTGCAACCCCATTCCAAGGAGAGGCAACTGGGGACAGGGGAGTGGTGACTAGATAAATTTGTTTCCAAAGACCAAGTCTACGCATCGGCTTGCTCCGTGTACCAAAGGATACCTGTATTTAGAGACATGGGAATACAAGGCAGATCCTGACCTGTTTCCTTCTATATCCAACTGAGAATTACAGGGCACCTTCTCCACGTTACACCTGTGGTAGAGTAGAGAGAACACTAGAGTCAGAAGACCTGTGTCCTCCTCCCAGCCCAGCTCCTGTTTCTCAGGCTGGGTGACCTGGAGCAATTAATGTCACTCTCTGAGAGTCAGCCTGGCTGAGAAGATCATTCTACAGTGACGCACATTTCTGCAAAATGCTGGTGGGGGTCACAGCTTCCTAACCATCTTTGGGCCCTACCTGTAGTCTCCCAGCTAGCTCCCCTGCCCCATTTCCCTCCACACATGTCCCATTTATGGTTTCAAAAGCGGTGGAGAATGAGAAGCCATGTTAAGGGCATGTACGGTCTTCAGAAGGAAGGTGACTTTAATCTTATCTGGCCCCTCATTTGTACACTGGGGATACTTACCAAGACAGCTCCTGACTATGAACCAGGCAAGCTGTTTTTGTCACAGCACCCACCATATATGAACAGATCCTGTGCAGCAACCTGTTTCATTTCTGGTCACCAACAAAACTCTCCTTCCCAGACATACTGTTTTCAGCAGATCACTGGTAAGCGCCCTTGACCGGGAATGAATTTGAGCCACTATCTGAGGGTTATGTGACAATTTTGGACACCGACACATAGGCGACCTTTTGTGTCAAGGCAGAGGAAGGGCAATCAGGTTAACCATCCAGGTTATGCTCTACCCTAAACCAGCAATCTGTCTCTCCTGCGGCAAACCCGGTCTAGCCACTTCTGGGCCTCTGCATGGTCACTGCCTGCTTGGCCCAGAGGAGAAGCAGCAGATACCATACAGTGGAGGTATGAAAGTGCATGCAAAAATCCAGATATACAGCATTAACCAGAATGACTAAACACCAAGGGAGAGTGGGAAGGGCCAGGCTAGAAAACAAGACTGTAAAGTTGCTAGGTTCAGAACATGGAAACCTACTTTTCCTAAGCCAGAGGTCTGGAAGCTCTTGAGGAACAGGAAGATAAGATCAGATATTTGCCTAAGCAAGAAGGTAAGACAGGAAGGGACGAGCAGCTGGACTCCCACCCAAGCAGTCACTGTTCCGGGGCAGGGGTTCCAGGGTCTCATGGAGACTATGTGATGATGCAGGAGGATTGCCTTGGAGACCTGTGGGGGCGGCCAGGGGACTTTAGAAGTGAGGTGTGGAAGGCAGAGACTTCTACTGTTTTATATTTGGGGCCTCTGGCTGATGATGTTGATACAGACACCAAAGCAGACCAGGTCCGCTCAGAAGGACTAGCAGTGGCAGAAGAGGAGTCTGGGACGGATGAACACAACCTTGGGCATTTTGTAAAATACACTGTAACTAATTCAGAGAAAAGATAGGCCCAGTTCTATGACCTGAGGCCAACACAGGCTGCAATCTAACAGAGGTGCAGGTGCTAAGCAAAGGAGATTCTAACAGAAAAAATTCCAGTCGTTCTGATACGGGTCAGGAACCTGACTGGCTTGGGGAAAAATATAAAAGCCTAGACTACAATGGATGCTTATGTATGCCAAAGATTTGGGTTTGGAGGTGTACTTTATAGGCCTGTTTCAAAAGGCAGTAGGTATGACACTGTGAGCCATCCTCTGGATAGAAGCCTTGAGGGTGGTGAACAGCAGTCTCTGACCCAGGAGATACCATAGTGAATTTTTAAGAGCTCTGGGAAGGAAAACCTTGGAAGAAAACAACACCCTTCTGGAGAACAGACTGGTTAAATGTGGGTCTTCAAATAGTGGCTCGGCCCAGCCTGAAATAAGGAATGCTACCAATTACTTTCTAGTGCATGTAGGGATTAAACAAGGACAATTGTGATTGGATTTAAAACATGCCACATCCTTTAAAAAAAAAAAAAGTGCTGTAACATAAAGAAATACCGACCCCCCCCCCCAAAAAAAAGAAGCATTGTACTGACATTTCTTCAAAAACAAAACAAAACAAAACAAAACAAAACAAAACCAAATATCAGTGTATTCCGGTATAGTAAAGCTCTCACGATCCCGCTTTCCCCAACTTTCCTATTCTGTGTTGGCAGCAGGGTTCTGCCCCCTTCCTGCATGGCGCAGAGCAGAGGAGGCGGGAGAGCGACCAGGACTGAGGACCCTATGGCTAGATTTAGTGGTGCATCGCTGGAACTGAAAACAGCAGAGGGAATATTTCCAGGATGGGTAAATGATTTCCCCAATGCCAACAGCACTAAATTCAGATCAAGTGGAAGCCTGTGCCATCCTTCAAGGCATCACACTAAGGGCTTATTAAAATTGGAAGGGTGGGCGCAATGCAGTCCAGGGAGACAGGGGATCCAGCTGCCGCTCCTGCCATGCCTTCTGCCCTGAACAGTAGCACTGTAGCCACTAGTCAGACTAGCCAAACAGAAGCTCCTGCCTTCCCCACTGCTTCTTGTCATCCTCAGAGCTAGACCCTGTGCAGACAGACGGTCTCGTCGGATGTACCTTCCAGTCGTCCATCTTCAAATCACAGATACAGCGAACAAGAGAGGTTTAAAGATATCAATGTATAAGTGCATATTCTGCTTCCAGATTCTTGGGAGTTTTCTTTTGCTTTGATTTTTTGTTGTCATTGTTGTTTGTTTTTTGGAGATAGGGTCTCATTATGCTGCCCAGCCTGTCTCAAACTGGACATCTTCGTGCCTCAGCTGCCCAGAGCTGGCTCAGATGTGTACACGCCATACAGCACTGCTTCCAAATTCTTCAGGAATGAGAGCACAAATTTTAAAAGTAAGGTATAATAAACAAAGAAGCAGAAGCTCCTGATGGGAGTTGATTTTTTTTTTTAAAGTACATATCAAGGTGCTTCAAATGAGTTCAAGTGACCAGCTGTAGACTAATTATATTCTGAAAGAGTGTAGATTGCTTCTGCCAACAATGCCTAGGAAATCACAGACATTGGAAATGGAGGCAGAGGCTGAAGAGCGGTAAATATCCCTGTTTTGAGATGAGAAATGAAACCTGATAGTGGCAGGCTTCCTGTTGACCCTTGTTGAGGACTTAGACTAAATTACCCAGAGGCCAGGGGGCTACTTAGCAAAGATAAATAACATCATTAAGTACTAGCAGGGGGTGTCTCTGAAAAAGCCATGGCAGGCAGGCTAACCTCATTTCACTTTTTCAGCAGAATTTCTAGGTTGATAGATGGGAAAGGGCTACAAACATAATGTATTTGGTTTTAGTCTTTCTTGATAACCTTGAGAAGGGACAGGTAAATTTGGGTAACGTGATAGCTTGGCCACATGAGTTCAATGACACTTAACCAACTTCAAGGATTACTGGTCAATATATTCATGTCAATCCACACTGACGGCCAGGGCATGTCACAGAGCCCTGTACTGGTTCCTTTACAAACTACTTCTGAAATAGTTTATGACACATCTTAGGCTTTGTAAAACCTCAGGAAGCAAATACCTGTTTAAAGATTAAGGAATGAGGATGGTCAGTGATGAGAACAAATGCTGCAATCCAGAGCTGTACTGAGCTACGGAACTTCGGTATATGATGGCTGAACAGAGGGAATGCTTACTTAGCTCATGGCTAAACTTGGCAGCTTTCAAGAAAGGACATGTATGGTGTATGTCATGTATCCAACATCAGCTGGCTCTGTGTCAAGGATGCTGGAGAATGCTTAGTGACGCTGGAGCCACACGCACAGAACTCTGGTGTCCAGAATAAGCAAGCAAATGAGCCCTTATCCTCAGAGGGCAGTGGGAAGTCTTGGGAGGATGTTTCAAAAGGGCAGTGCAAGAGTAGATTGTGCCCAAGTGTCACTCAGAGAACAAAGGTGGACGCTTCTACCCAAAGAAGGTGGCCCTGGGCTGGATATGCCAGCTTATAGCTATTTTTAAAGGACATTTCCTGAAATGAGACTGGATTCATTCTCTGACAGGTTTGTAGAATAAATAGGTAAAACTTGGTGGGCAGGATTTTAACGTGAGATAAGAGAACAACCATGTTGAAGGCAATCCTGCAGCATCAAGACATTCTTCTTGAAACCATGCCCTGATGTGGGATCTGAATCCGCAGGTGGGAGGACTTCCTGTCACTAGTGCTGGTGCAACCCGAGTCACAGGACACCAGACCAGGCAGAGCCAAAGCCCAGAGGTTCTGGCTTTAAGGACATCTCTAGGAACCCTTCACCCTGTTAACTGGAGGCCGCTTCCTGAGACCTGGAAGAGCACCCCTCCATCTCCTGATGATTTAAAAAGGTACAGGTACAACAGAGGAGGAATAGGGTGTCTCAGGTTAAATATTCTAGAAGGTGAGACCATAGATGAAAGCCTTCAAAAACAAGCAGAAGACAAATCATGTTGTTCACTAAGTCAAAATAAAGGATGACTTGAGATAAAGTTTTCTATCGGGAGAAACAACATGATAGGCACTAGCAGCTACAGCCCCCCACTACCAAACAGCCTTCCATTCCTGAATCACATGAAGTCACATCTTTAAACTGTCATAGAAAAGAAGCCAATAAATACATGTTTAAATTATCTTGTCTTTACAGAAATATCAAGCCACATCTGTCCCAGAATGATGCAAGGACTTTTGAGCAACTGCCCCTGAGAGCTAACTCTTCTTAGATATCTATTAAATATAGATGGAGGTCTCATTAATAAACTGCCCAGCTACGTGGCCATTGGAACCCTAACACTGAATGGGTGTATTAGCACAGGTGACATTTCTTTGGGTAGGCTGAGTTACTGTATCAATAACTGACTATAATGCTGGAGAAACCTCAACACAGCAAGATGTACATTTTTCCAGTAGTGTTTTTCCAAAACGAACCAAAAATAAGACACAGTATCTAATTAAGGACCTCCTAATTTGAGTGCCTCCTACTTGAGAACCAAGTTTGGTAAGAGAAATACAAAACAGAAATAGAGTGCACTGCTTTTTCTGGAGGATCACTAACATGAAATATACACGAAACATGCAGGGGTGGGAAATTTAGCACATCATCTCCAGAAAGTACCTAAAAATGCAGGAATGAACAAAATGAGTCTTAGGAGGGTGCTTTTTAAGTACTCAATAAGCAAATAAATAAAGCCAGGAAATGAGGAAGGACCATTCAATATCCGCATGCTGAAATATTTAAATATCTTTTGCCTACAGTATGACTAATGACATGCTCAATAGTCAGTTCCGGTGAAACTGCATTTTTTGTTTCTGGATCTAAAACCATGGAAACCAAGGACACTTTCTTCATAGTGCTCAGAGGTCTCTTCACCTGCTTGATTAACTGCCAACAGTCTCAAAGTTTGATTATTAATCATTAAACTATTCAAAGAATCTGGGGTTATATTAACTACCCAGGACAACAATGCCACAGTCTGAGGCAGGTGCAGGGGGGGGGGGGGGGCAGAGAAGTTAAGAGTCCCCCGGCTAAGTGAACACCAGAGTCAAGATTCAAGGAGCTGAGGCTGGGATGGGAAGGAGCTTGTGCTGTGAGCCCCTGGGCTCTGCTTCCCCAGGCAAGGCATAAAGGAGTTCAGTTCAAACAGCTCCGTATTTGGGAATGGGCTCTAAGGAAGTCCACTGTAGTATGTACACCAGGATGACACAAACGCAGCCAGCAGACAATGTAAATAAGCTAGGCAAAGCCTGTCACCAAGGGCACAACTCATATTCCATACTGGTGGTAGAGATGGAATAGTGACAGACAGCTGGGACCACCTGTGAGTGACAGGTGAAGAGACTAGCCATTTCTTCCCTCCTGCTGAGCAACCCTTGGGAGAAAGTCTGACAGAATGCTGCCAGGTTTTTAAGTTTTTCCAAAGTGGGAGTCAAGAAACAGAAACATTATAAATCTGACCCCCACAAAGATATAAAGCCAGATAAAACAATGTAGTCGCAACTTGAGACCCACTGGGTGCTGACCCGGACAGCTGATTAAGGAAGAAGAAATAACAGCCACTCTCCAAAGGCCCAGCTTTTAATCTCCACAGACTCTCTCAGAGCCCTCTTCAGACTCCTGCCGACCCAGACTGAATCAGCCAGCGACGCGATCATCAAAGGCCTGCCAAAGACCAGGACACACCTGGCCAGGGAAACAAACGCTACACTCTCCTGACTCAAAGAAAAACAAAACAAAAACAACAACCAAAAAACCCCAAAACACAGGCAGAGGTGCTTGCAGAGTGACACTATCTACCTCGCTGCAATTTCCTCACACCAGCGGCTGATCCCAGGTGTAATTACCCAGCCTCCTGCCCACAACAGGTGGAGCTGGGGTAAAGAGAAACTTCAGAGTCACTAATTCTTGGTATTCACACAAGAAACGTTTCCGGGTTTACCCCAGGCCAAGCCAAGAGTGGAACACCGGGGGGTCAAGTTTCCCTCTCTGGAGTGTCAAGCTCAGGGGAAGGAGCGGCCGCCCTTTGTGGCCACTTTAAAACATTGAAAAGGATTTTCTTTTTGTGTGTGTCATCTTCCTTCAAAAAGAAAATACTACAACTAGTGAGCATGGGAGTGATGGGGCTTGATGGGTCAAGAGAGACAGGAAATCCTGAGCCCTCAATGAACCTTTCTCTCTGCCTGTCCCCATCACTGTTTTTGGAAAACGCCACATGGGTTAGAAAAGCTTAAGAGCAAAATTCCCAGTGGAAAGTTTTTGCTTTTTATGGTACTTAATCTTTCGAGCAATTTCTTTCCTGCCTGATATGTAATACATCAAAGCTATGAGGAAAAACCCAAGTCACAATTTAGCTGTTCATGTTCAATTCAGCTGCTGTCCAGAAACACAGGAGTTCCTGGTGAAAGATCATGGTCTCTAACGACTGACTTCTATGATCGTGCAATTTAGAGAGTAGAAATATCTGCTTCCTATCTGCTTTCCATGGAAACAAGAGATGGCTTTCAAAGGAAAATATCATTGCATCGAGTGAAGATATTATTGCATCAAACGGAAATCAAAGCAAGTAACCAAAATCAACGAACTCTAATGCAGTCTACTAGTTAACTAGTATAGATTTATCTGATATAAGTGCCTTTGCCTCAGTTTCCAAATAATCATTCATTCGTTTAATGAATGATTAAGGTACTGGTCTTATCTGTCCAGCACCTCCTCCTTATTGGTCACACCCCAAAAGTCCATGAACAAGGGGTGAATTTTCTGAACTGTGCACATACAGTAGTAACTCGAGACCAAAGCTCGTAGGAATGCTCAAAAAATCCAAGCTTTAGAAGGAGGAAAGCAAAAATAATTTTGAGCAAATGTCTGGTTCTAAATGGTCTTTAACATAAAAGATTAACCTTAAATATACCTGCAATCCTTTTTATCTAATGAGTCAACCTCAAAAAATTAATTTCATCCCATCATCCTAATGTCTCTATCACCAGAGCCCCTGAAGAACCCTTCTCTGGTTTAAAGTTCTTTAAAAACTTGTCTAATCTCATTTTCCATCAATTTAAACAATACACAGAGAATGATCACACAAGATCGTAGTAGTGGCCATTTTACAAGGATATAAGGCAGCTCTCACCTTCCAAAACAAAGCCATAAAATGAAAATTAGAAATAGCCCTATAGTCCAAGTGCATAACTTAAGTCCTACCACTCCAGGGCTTGGAGGAAAGGAGGCAGCCACACTCACCTATCTTTGTAGTTTATCACAGTATCAATGATGGCATTCATCTGCTTGGTTAACTTTGGAGGATTTGGTGACAGTTTCTCAGCTGGAGGGCGGCCTCTTCTTTTCTTTGCTTTTTCCACATCTTCCTTTACAGGATCTTTATCTACATTTCTTCGTCTTTTTCTTTTCTTAAGCCGTACTTCCTCTTCCATTTCTTCCAAATTGCCGTCTTCGATGGCCTATAAACCAGAAACAAAGGAAAAAAATTCAAGTAAGGAAAATAACCAAGACAAACATATCTGAGCCTTTATAATAAATGATATATATAAACATGTATCTTGAATAACTAGGATAAAGAGAAGCAAAGTAAAACTAAAAGTCAACAGTCATCAATGAAAAAAGAAGAAAAAGCCACCATATTGGATTAAATCCATCTTTAACCTAAGTCTATATTGTAAGGCCTAAAACACTGATAATAGTGACAGATGTTAAAGCATCTATACTTTTAAGTGCATAAAAAAAATGACTGAATCCACATAAAATTTATCTCAATATAAGCAAACTGCTCTAAAGGTCTCATTACTATAAGGATGGTAACGATAAACAAAAAGCAGGGGCGAGTGAAGGAAACAGAATAATCCCCTAAAACCACATCTATGCAGTCACACAGACTCTGGCCTTTCCTTAAAGGTTTTACATCAATGTATTCATGATTCACGACATAGATCAACAATTCCATCCAGATTTTTGCTCTAACGTAGAAATCGGCAAACAAGGAACAGGAGGGGAAGTATGAAGCCACATTCCTTGGGAGACGAAATGAAATCACCCCAGAGAGAGAGAGAACACACACACTCACAAACAGCAAAACACTTTTTTTTTTCCAATTACCTGAAAACGCTTGCTTTAAACCAGAGCCAGCAGCACTAATGCAGAGAGATAATAAAGTAGCTATAAAAACAGCCAGGTATGAAGGAGACCTGTTCAGAAAAGGCTACAAGATCCATGTGATAGGACCCACAAGTTCAAACTTTTCTTTTTCTTTTTTTTTTCCAGGTAGGTCTCTAAACTTATACAAAAAATTAAGAGGGGAACAAAAAAGAAAAAAGAAAGAACAGAAAAGAAAAAAACCAAACAGACAAAAGAAAATCTGTCCATGGAAAAGAAATTTTCTTCAACAACAACAACAAAAATCTTAAAATTACATTTTTGAGATTGCTTTCTCACACAAATAAGTGGTGCTGCTATTTGTTCCACGGTCTCTCAATATTGCCTCCAGTATGTAAATGCTAATCAATCCTCCCCTTGCTGAAAGAGCTCTAATCATAAGGCAATTACCTTCATTTCTCCACAGCACCAAACATGGCTAATATTTATGATCATGTGAGTATAACAATCAATATAAAGAGTGATTACAGCTCAGACATAATTTCTTTCACTTATGTACAATGCTCCCTGAAAAAGAAAGGGTTTGTGAAGAAAACCTGGTACAGAACACAAAACGACCTGGCATGCTAAAAATGCCAGTGGGATTTAAAAAAAAAAAAAATGTTTCCAATGCACTTTCCAATGTGCTAATCCATAGAAGCAACATGCACACAGACAGAATCCTCAGGGACAGCCTGAGCCCAGGCCTTAATAATCAAAAGACAATTTCCATCACGATCCTACAGTGTTCAGATAACCACTATGAAGGAGGCGAGACCTGATGAGTTATGAAGAAAAAGGAGAAAGGAAAAAAAAAGCTCCCCATTATTTCATTAATATTCATTTGCCTAAAAGCAGGGCACCCACTACACAGCTAAACACACTGCAGCTAAGCAAAGATAAGAGAAAGAAATTGTCCCGCACATCTTGGAGGCTGAACATGCTAATCATAAATACAGCATGCAAGGCTGTCAACAGTTAATGGTAACTGCTCTCTCCTCCAGCACCCAGTTGCACACAGAAATACGGAGAACAGCGGCTTCTGATGTGTTACACACCTACACATGCCTGGGATGTAGTTCTACTGAATCTTCAAGACGGCAACGAAAAAGGATATTTACCTTACCACTATCAGCAGGCCGGCTATCGGAAATCACAGTTAGTGGGGATAAAATTAACAAGCCAGCAAAGCAGCGAGCTGCTAGTCTCTTCATCAGCTGATCAGGAAAAAAAAGAGAGCTGGGAAAGGCTATGTTTTCATATACAAGTAATTTTATTTTACTGAAAATTTAATACTGGAAGGATTGTGGATACTCAAATCTGCTGTTTCATTCTACCTACGACCAGGCCCCAAGCCTTCCTCCTCCAGCCTGTTTTAATATTGACAACTACTTATCATATTGTTCCCCCCTTGTTATTCCAGGCAGCAGAATTAGAGATTTTTAGCTCAGGTGGTTTCTCATTCTTGCTTGCATTTTAACAATTAAGCCAATAAGAAAACAAATGAATATTCAAATGAATTTTAAAAGATTAAAGCAAGATATGGTTTTTGTTTTTGTTTTTGTTTTTTTTTTTTTGCTTTCATCTTAGTCGTTTTTAAGAAAAGATATGCTGCATGGTTTTGGAGCAGTCTAAAACGATTTTTAACACAGAAGAATCACCACCCCCTCCCAAACACACACACACACATACATACACACACACACACACACACACACACACACACACACACACACACACA